CAACTCGTCGAGGTAAATGTCCCAAACGCGGTCGTCCATCCACGCGCTCTCCTGGACCGCATAGACGTGTCCAGGAGGGTACGTTGGCAGCTCGCTCGTGTCGATTGTGCCACCTGGCTTGCCCTTGACGATGAAAAGGATAGGTAGCTTGACACCTAAACACGCATGACGGAAATCACTCTCAGGAAATGTCATACCGTCCGCTCGAATCGTCATCACCGCTGTCAATCGCTCGGAATGCTTGGTGGCCTTCTTACATTTGCTGGACTTGCCAATTTCGGCCAACGTCATTCCAGGGGGCATGGCAAAGTAGACGCCCGTCTCGTCGACGTTCAGAATTTGGCTGCGAGGGTAGTGACCATACGTCGACCAAAAGTGGAAGGCGTTGCCCATCCAAACGTCGTCCAGGACCTTTTGGCTGACCTTGCTGGCACAGGGGACACGGTGGCGGAAGCGGTGTCGGTCGGCAAAGCGATGCATGAGACTTCGGAACGACTGATACGCCACCGCTTCGTTCTTCTTGGACGCCAGGTACTACACGAGCCACGCTTTGTGATTCGTATTCACCCAGCGCATGAGGTGAAACACCCGCAGGTGCTCTTCGGAGTCACGTTTGACTCGCATGTAGGCCAAGAGGTCGTCCTTGAACGGCAACAACTCACGGCGCCCTGGCCGCCCAAGGTCGCATGCCGACTGTGGCGTTTGCTTGCCATGATGGCTGACTCTCGTGAACGCCAGTCCTGCCATGTGCCACGGGAGATCTTGTTGTCACGGCAGAACTGGCGTTCACTGGTGCCATTTGACGCGCGGAACCTGGCCAGGAGCTGTTTGCGCTGGCCATTTGTGTATCGCGTCTGTTTTCCCTTGGTTGCGCTCATTTGGAAATGCGTGCTGGACTTGCTGACAGATTTGAAAAGCGTCATTTGTAGATTTGAAAAGCGTCATTTGTAGATTTTAATCGAGCCAATTAGAGGCAAGCGACTTTGTGATTGGTTATCGAATAGTCCCATGAAGTTATCCAATCAAAACACAGAATCATACATCCCTACTTTTGGTTATTTATTTAAATTTTGGAGAGTTGCCCTGGCCGGGTTTTACCAGCAACCACTGTAAATGGATGTCTGTAAAAGTTCTGCCAGGTATGCATTGATAGTACTACGTAGAATGTAATAGCTACAATATTGCGTGAATTAGGCTGTCGATGATGTGTTTGACGATCTCTACCTACGTAAACCCACGCCCGAAGACATGGGCCGCATTTTGCGCGTGAATATCATCCGCGGCATGCCTGGCATGGTTGGCTCGATTGACGGCTACAACTGGTTGTGGAAGAATTGTCCCAAAGCTTGGCAGGGCCAATTTAAAGTACAAAAATGTCCTACAATAATTTCAGTCATTAACAAATCTATTTACAGTTAACATATATCATTAATATAGGAGACAAGCATTTCGCTCGAAGCTGCTGTCTCGGGTGACTTGAACTTCTAGTCATTCAACTTTGGGGTTCCCGATTCGCTCCATGATATTACTGTTGTGCAACATACGACGATTGTAAGCATGTATTTAATTATACGATAATTAGAGTAATTGTGGATTTTAGATACTCAAAAAGGTTGATATAATATATTTTTACAGTGGGCGGAGCCATCGAGGGGTCCGCCGTATAAACATCCGAAATTTATGATTTGCTGAAGTTGCCAACACGGCTCTTAAATCTTATAACTTAATACAACCAGTCGTATTACTTATAGCGATTATTTGCGATGGGAGGGAAAAGAAGATTTTTACTAAAATGACCATAACTTCGTCAATATTGGTCCAATTGATCTCAAATTAGCACCAAAATGTAGGTATGAGTAAGGGCTGTCGTTGGGGGTTTCGGGGTTTGGCGAACTTATGGGCTTGAATCAAACAGTTCGTCAAGTTGCGCCGTAAGCGCAGCTTGTCGTACGATGAGAAGTTGGACATACTTTGGTTCCAAGCGACTCTCCGCGAGCAAGGCAACCTGGATGGCACTGGAGCCAATGTTCGGCTCCTAGGTAGAGCGAAAAAGACTGTACAAGGCGTTCTTGCCGAGTTCAACACCTTGGGCGACCTGTCGGTTGCTGAACCACCATCCAACACAACCAATCACCGCACAACTGTACCGAACACTCGTGCTGTCCGTGACCTCGTGAGGACATTCATCCGTGACCGCTCTGTAACCCCTACCCGGACGGTCGGGAAGGACGAGTCCCGCCTCCAAGAACACAATGTCGTGTCGGTCGATGCCAGCTGCAAGAAGAGCTATGGTCCCTGCCTTCGCGCAGTGCAGTTGTACCTTGCGAAGCAAGAATATGCGAGGGGGAAGCGTGTGGATGCCACCGAGTATTGCAAATGAGCAAGGCACATGAGGACGCCCGTGACGCGTACGTGGGCATGATGGTTCCCACAGTGATGATGTCCCCCCGTCGCCCTGTCGTCTATCTGGACGAAAGCTTTGTCCATGACCACTAATCGAGCCATGCGGACAGTCTGTATCATCCCGACGATCCCATGACGAAGTCGAAGCACAAGGGCCGGCGATACTGCTTTATTGCCGGTATCCTGGACGATGGATCGGACGTAGCGCATCTTTTGGGCCTTGACATCTTTGTGGGTGGCAAGAAGAGCGGCAAGATTGTCAAGGACTACCATGCAATGTTCAACCACGACCACTTTGTCGACTGGTTTGGCAGGCTCCTAGATAAAGTTGAAAAGCTGTGGTGGTCGTCGGCCGTGTTCGTCATGGACAATGCAAAATACCAAGGGCAAACCGAAATCAACACCGAAGGGGTCATGGAAGAAGACAGACCTGTACTAGGCTTGTCTTGACCGCAGTGTCCCAAATGTCGCACATACCGATCTCTAGACGACGATCTGGAAGGCACTGAAGAAGCACTTGGACGAGCATGTCCTGCCTGTCGTTGTCGCCATGGCACAAACCCGGGGCCATCTTGTTGTGTACTCTGCCCCCGGGTTCTCCGAGCTGCAACCAATTGAATTGGTGTGGGCAAACGTCAAGGGCACCGTTGGACGTGCGTATACTTCGACAACCACATTTCAAGATGTACGAGATCGCCTGGAGAAGGCGTTCTTTGAGTTGGACACAGAGGTAATCCACAACACAATTGAGTCATCCACAGCAAAGCTCCTCAAGCTCCATCGTGCTCTCCATGACGCCGAAGCGGGGGCAGCAGACTTATGTCGCGAGGAAAGTGAGAGTGACGCATCCTCTGATGTCGACACTTCGTCGTCAAGCGTGTGTGATAGCATGAGTGGAAGCGACAGCGATGATTAGCATAAACTACCTCGTGAAGTCAAATACTTGTATAATGTAATATCACAGGTGGAGCTTTATTCATGATGGCATTGTATTTTTGCACCTGTAAAATAATTATTGTTTTTCAAGAATTATCAGAGCCCCCTCGATGCTCTCGCAGACTGTCAACTTTTTTCAGCATTCGCTTTGCCAACTTGTTTCCAATGGGACGGCCGTCAAGGTCAAAGTCCTTGTTGTCCGGCTCGTCAGCGGGCTGCTTGGTCGCATTGCGACCTTTGCTTGCGCACTTGGATATTTTAAGACTAGCCGATGCACGACTGCCAAGTTGCTATCATTATACTGTAGTATTAATACACATGGTACACAACACGAATATGCTCTCGCACATCCCTGCCATTTGGTTTGCGTTTTAAGCACGTGCCAGCAATCAATGCACACTCAAATACAGTTGATGACACCGCGAGATTTCGTCGGCGTCGTTGGATCCACTTGCCAGATGAGCCACACGATGTTCCAGACGACAACGCAGTGGTTGGCTTCTTTCTGGATTTTGCACCACTGGTCCTTGCAATTGTCGTTCGTGCACGATGCCTAGAGGATTTTAGCAATATGTATATACCGTGCAATACTTACAGATACTCCATGTTTCTGGAAGTTTTCTAGAACAGATTTTCAGAATGTCCAACTTCGTTGGTCTGAACCTTCGATAGCACAGCACAAAACCTCAAGGAACGCTGAGACAATGCAGACGTTCTCTCTGGACTACGACAAACCGCGACCGATCTTATGAGGCAGTCCCATTTCGTCGGAGTGTCGATCACTTCATCACAGATCACCTCCATGTCGATAATTATGCTGACTGTAGCAAACTCAGAAATACCCTGACCTTGGAGGTCCCTCCAAATCCGTCGAATTTGCCCTAAGTCGGGGGTCTGGTTGTTATAAAGGGACCATTTATTTTTGGGACAAACCAGAAATAACCAAAATACCCAATTTTTCATCTCAACCGCACCTCCAAATGGCCCCTTTAAAATATCAACCCAGCGGTCACAAAAATTTGAGAGGTTTATGACTGCGGTCATGACCAATAAAATTGATATCCAAGATATCAATAGAATTGGAGAGGTTTTGGAGCTGATATTCCAGATATCAGTCGTTCTGGTCATAGCCAATGGACGTGCAATATTCGGAGAGTTTTAACCAATCTGAATCCAGAACCTTTCTCCAGTTACAGCCAATCAGGTCTTGTGTGAGTTTTGCGTTCCCACTCAGATTACGACTCATTTGGCCAATCAAAACTTGTGTGAGTTTTGCGTTCCCACTCAGATTACGACTCATTTGGCCAATCAAAACTTGTGTGAGTTTTGCGTTCCCACTCAGATTACGACTCATTTGGCCAATCAAAACTTGTGTGAGTTTTGCGTTCGAACAGAAATTACGACTCATTTGGCCAATCAAAACTTGTGTGAGTTTTGCGTTCCAATAGAAATTACGACACATTTAGCCAATCAAAACTTGTGTGGGTTTTGCGTTCCCACAGAAATTACCACTCATTTCACCTTTGGCCAGCATCATGGAACACGTCCTTGTCACCGCAGATGAGAATGGTGAGTACTTGTGCCCTCAATGCGAGGTCAAGTACACCCGCCAGGAGTCACTGCGCATGCACTGCACACGCAAACACGGGCTCGCCATCACCTTCAAGGTCAAGCGTACTGCTGCCGAGAAGAGCGAACAAAGCCGCCAGCGAAAGGCAAAGTGGTCCGAGAAACAAGCGGCAATTCGTGCCCTTGTTTCGCTTTCGACCGTTGAAGAAAAGTGCGATGCGTTTTCGCGTCGCGACGCGAGAAAGCGTGGGGTCCATGAAGCCAAGGATCCCATCGTCTACACCAAGATGTCGTCGATCCAGAATGCAGGTCTCGAATAATACCAAACTCACTATACTATACTAAAAACTAGATAAGTCCTCGGTCGTTGATTGGCTGGTGGTGCTCACGTCGGATCGGCGTCTTGATGATGATTGGCTTGTGGAGCTCACGTCGGATAGGCTTCTTGGTGTTGATTGGTTGTTGAAATGATTACGACAACTGTGGAAGTCGAAATCATCCGGATCATATCCGTATGGCCAAGTCAGGCAAATTTGCTCCACTTGTCCATCCGGAAGTTATATCCGGTTATCCGGAAAGTGTATAAAACCGTATCATCTCAAGTTTCGAGAGAGTGTTTGCGACTACATGGAGTTTGCTGAGTCTGCGTACATTGTCATCACGAAGAAAATCAAGGCGAACAGCGAGCTCTTTACGGTCTACAGCCGTGGTTACAGATTCT